CGGGCGGGGGCAGCCGAGGGAGCAGGGGGTCACGGCAGCTGTGCTGCCCACCATGACCCCAGTAGGCAATTGCTATAAAACCTTTATTACTGTGGGCATTTGTAGCATGTTATTTAAATCATTTTACCAGTCGCTGGTCCAACTCCCACTTCTCACTAATCTCTCTTGTGCACACACACTATTTTAAACTCCTTTATACTTAAAAGAATTGTGCTCCACCTCCGCCACTTGACATTCCTGCGTGCGGGCCTGAAAGGGCTATTGCCCCGTGCTCCTCACAGCCAGAGCACGTCTCATTCAGGTGTCCCTGTGCCACAAGGTGGGGCGAGCCATTTGCAGAGTTCCATGGAAGTGCCCTTACCCAGTCAGAAGTTTTGCAGCCACAATTGCCATAGCCCGCTCGACCATCCCATCCCTGCAGCACTGTGCGGTCCCGCCAGACGGCGCTTGTCCAATGGCGCTAGGGCCGGCGTACCACCGTGTCCAGAGGGTTGAATGCCGGTGGCATTTCCAATTCGCTCAACTCAAGGGCTTGCCTGAACAGTGCATCCGTGTCATGCTCTTGCAGGAGTGCTGTGCATACGCTCTGGACACACAAGGGCACATCACCCCCACACTGCTTTGAGGAACAGCGGGATCCACGAGGGAGACGTCTACGCAGTTACCAGGGCCAAAAAGGACACGGAATGGCCATTTCCCATTGATCTCAATTAAGCGGGGAGGGAGTAGACGAGCACATGATGGGCCGCGGATGACATGAACCCAGAACCACCCACTGCACAGTTTTGGTCTCAGTGTGCACCAGGAGCAAACCCAGAACGCAAAGCAGTGCAGGGTCTGTGGCCAGCTACCCCCAGGGCATTGGTAGGCTCCCCAGTGGGGACATGCTACTTTGAACTACGTTGAGTTCGTCCCTGCAGTGGAGTCTAGGACCTTTGACTTTACAAAATTGGATGGTAACAAATCAACCTTAATAAATTTGACCTTATCTCGCAGTGTAGCCGTGGCTCCAGAGACGCTCTGGTCTGAGAACTGGGCTGCACTAGTCCCTGTGGGAGCGGAAGCCCTGGGGGCCCAGAGCGAGTGGACTCCCCACGGGAGGGGTGGGCTCAGGAGGCAGAGGGCTAACCCTGGAGAGTGAGTGTCCCCTGAGAAAGAGACCGTCTGAGCCAAGTTGGGCACGACCTGGGAATCCGCGACAGGGATGAAATCACTTTGCTTTTGCACAGAGCAGGGGAAAGGCACAACTCAGACTCAGCTTCCCATGAGTTGCCCAGCCCCAGCCCTGCCCAGCCCCAGCTCCAGCTCCACTTTTGGCTGGATGCCATGGGGCTGCTGTGTGCTGGCCAGGGCCGGCCAGCAAATTCACAGGCATGAGGAACACATCCCAGAGCGAGGCATCTGGCCTTTCGTGGCTCTTCCCCCCACGCTTCGCAGAGACCAGCGTTTCCCGGACTGGGTCTTGCCCCACAGGAGCTGCAGAGTGGTCACAAGGTTATTTTAAGGGGGTCATGATACCAGCACCCTTACTTGTGTGCGGCCTCCAGAGCTGGGCCAGCCTGGAAGATGGCTCCTGTCAGCTGCAGCCCAGCAGAGTGGCCATACCGCGCCAGGCCACCCTGGTTTGCACACTGGCTCAGGACCCTGCCGTTACTACACCAGATTTACATAGCGGAGATCAGGAATAATGGTTTTTACCATCCTTGGCTGAGAAATTGACCGAACTGGACCGTGACTTTGGCAGGGTTCCTAACGCCGGGGCAAAGTGCTTCCTGTGCATGGCTCTGCCACCCATCAACATGTGCCTGGTGTTGGGGCTCCCTGCCTGGCAGGCTGGCTTTCACGCCCCCTCCCGCAGGGCCCCGTCTCTCCCCGCAACACACAAGGGAGATAAGGGTCTGCTCCCCGGTTCTTGTGCTGAGCAATGCCTCCCCCCCACCTGGGAGCTGGGCCAGGGTGCACCCAGTCTGTACTGCAGGCCACCAGCCCCGGGCACTCCAGGACACCAGGGACAGAGCCTTGTGCCCAGAGAGGCATTGTAAGGTCAATAACAAGCCGCCCAGCACAGACCATGGGGCAGCACGACCCGCACAGTGGGGCAATTCCCCCCATCCTTTCTAAAATCCAGGGGCAGCACAGCCCGCATGGTGGGGCAAGTCTCCTTATGCCCTCTCCCAAAGTCCATGGGATGGCATGACCCACATGGTGGGGCAATTCCCGCCATTTTCTCCCAGAAAGTCCATGGGGCAGCATATTCCACTTTTACTCTTTATTTGCTCATTCCCCATCACATTGCCCAAGGTTTTGGCTCTGTGTGCTAATGGTGCTTGTTCTGCACCGGCCCCCGAAGGCTCCCGGACATCCGGAGTTGGCTTGGCCATCAGCCGCCGTGGGGCTGGGCTCTGTGGGTCAGACAAAGTGCCGTCCACTAACCCTCCCCCTCAGAGAGGCCAGTCTGGGTGTGTGGCACAGGCAGGACTGCTGTGTCCACCCGCCCAGCCCTTCTGGGCTGCCCCCTTGTGCAAAAGAACAATTGCATCCCTCACTGGCCACCTTCTGCCCCCACCAGCTCCCAGGCCTCGGAGCTCAGCACCCTGTAGTTGAGGCTCCGGTAGTTTGAGGCGTCCTGGGCACGACTTGCCCGCGTGGCCTCGTACAGCTCCCTAAGCATCGGGGGAAGGGGTTCGAAGCCACCCAGCTGGGCCAGCTCCTGGCAGTATCCCCACTGCTGTGCCCCCAGCTGGTGGACATGTTTGAGGGAGCCCTTGGCTGTCAGGTGCTGCTGCAGCTCTGCCTCGGCGGCCGCCTGCATCTCAGCAACAGGGGGCAGGTGGCAGGTGCCCTGCAGCACGGCCAGGCAGAAGAGCAGCTGGCAGTGGAAGTGGGGGAAGGGGCAGATCTGCTGGCACAGCCCGATGAAGAAGAGCCTGGGGCAGCGCGGGGACAGCAGGTGCCGGTACAGCGGCACCACCGCCTGTTCTGTGATCTGCAGCCCCAGGTGAGCAACAGGCAGGAAGGGGAAGTGGTACCGGTACCCGGTGCAGAAGATGAGCGTGTCGGCTCTCTGCATGGTGCCGTCGCCGAACTGCACCATGTCCCCCGCAATGGCCACCACGGGCGCCAACTGCAGTACACTCCCAGGCAGCCCGGCCACTGGCGCCTGCCGGTGGCTCAGGGTCACTCGCCGGGCCACAGGGGCCAGCTGCAGGGCCAGATCCACGCCCGACGGGCCGGCCCCCAGCAGCACCACGGTGTGGCCTGCAAAGGGTTCTGGGCTGCGGTAGGCATGGCTGTGCAGGAGCCGGCCTGGGGGAGGGAGATGGGGATCAGAGGAGAAGCCGGAAGGTCCGCACCTCCCTAATGTTCTCCCCACCACATTGGGCTGCCCTGCCCCATGGAGCGTCTCCCTCCCATTGTGTTCTCTGCACCAACCACTTCCCCGTGCCCAAGAAGGCAGGTGCTGGACATCAGGCCCCAGTGGCTCTTACCTGGGAAGGTCTCCAAGCCAGGGATGGGCGGCACGAAGGGTTCAGAGTAGTGACTGGAAAGAGGGCAGAAAGAGGGGCCCGGTGAGCACTACGGAGCCGCCTCCCTGGTGCTGTCTCAGCCCCTGCCCCCCAGGGAACATGCAACAGGAGGAAGCTCCAAGCTCCAGCCTGGGATGAGGAGTTTGTTCCCCTGTATGGAGGGGGTCTCTTGCCCCCCCCGCCCAGTGCTGGCCCCTCACTGCCCTGCAATGGGGCACCCCTACAGCCATGCTTTCTGCATCCCCAGGACCTGGCCTCCCCACCTCCACACTCTGCAGACCCCCCTGCACCCAGGGGAGAGACCCCTGCAGAAAGCGCAGCCACCTCCCAAGCCAGGACAACTCCCCCCCCATCAGCCCAGGTGAGCCACCCCACCCAGTCCTTTGCTGGCAGCTCCCACACACCTGCAGGGCAGGGGGACAGCAATCTAGGACCAACTCCCCGCCATTGCCCCAGGCCTCACCCACTGCAAACGAAGACGGCATCGAAGCGCTCGGTTGCCTGCACCCTCCGGTCCTGGGCCCAGTGGGCGGTGAGGTCCCAGCCGCCCTTGGCTGGGCACACGACGGCTTCCACCCGCCACCAGAGCTGCAAGGGGCAGCAGGAGCACCTCAGACCCTAGCGGGGGTGGGTGAGCAACCATGCAAGGGACCTTGGCTGGGGATCAGCTGGCTCTGCCCATGGGGGGGTCAAGGCTTTGCCACTGGGGGGCTGGGCAGGGGCTGGGTTGTTTCCCTGTGGGGCTGGGCTGTGCCTCAGGGGGCTGGGCAAGGGGTCAGAGCTTTGCCCCAGGTCAGGCCTGTGCCTGTGGGGAGCTGGGAGGGGCTGGAGGTCAGGCCTGTGCCCCTGGCGCCAGGGCTGTTCCCTGGGGGGGCAGGGCGTGTCCCGCTGGACCCAGCCCACACTCAGGCCTGCGGGCTCCCCAGCGTCCCACTCACCCTGACGTGCTGTCGGAGGTGGAAGTGGTCGGCATAGCTCTCCAGATAGGCCAGCACGTCTGAGTGGTGCAGGAAAGACGGCAGCGAGGGGGCGAAGGGGAAGTCCGGGAATGCCATCACCTCCTTTGGCAGGTTAGTCCTGGAGGTGCGAGTGCCGGTCAACGCCCTCCAAAGTGTCTGTCCCCTCCTCCCCCACCTTCCCCTTCCAGCATTCGGCACCCACAGGACTGGGGGAGAGAGGAGACAGGACCCACCCCACAGAGGATGAGGGCTGGTCTCAGGGTGGGGAGGCCTGGCAAGGGATCCCTTTGGCACTAGGATCCCCTCCCCTGAGGTTTCAGAACAACCCCTCTGCCAGTGCCCAGAATCACATGGTGCCCGCAGCCCCCTGCCAGCTACCTGAGGTCACGGTACATGCTGGAGTGGACGGGGAGCCCATCTGGTTCCTGCCCTGTCTCTTCGGTGTAGACCCAGGTGCCCCCGATGCGGCCAGATGCCTCGAACACCACGGGGGGTGCAAAGGACTCAGGCCGGGCAGCGACATGGCGAGCTGCACACAGCCCAGCGGCGCCTGCCCCGATCACCGCCACCCGCAGCTTCCCTGGGGCTGCCATCTTGCTGTGTAGCTGGGAACAGGCAAAACACGGGGGACATGAGCAGGGCCCAGATCTCACTCTCTCCCCAAAACACCCTGCAAATGCCACAGTCCTGCGATGTTACCCCTCATTCCTAGACCTCCCCACCATTCACTCCAAACTCTGCCCTCACCCACACGGGTTGCCTCCCACTTCCTCGACAGGGCAGGCTCCTACCCCATTCACAGGCACAGAGCCGCAACCAAAGCCTGTATGGACTTTGACCACATCTGCTGGACACTCAGCGGATTCCCCACTGGCTTAGTCACCAGTCAAACTTTTATAAAATCTAGCATGTGTCTGTCTCCCCGCCATTTTCCCACTGCTGATCCCACACTGAGCAGTGACACTAACAGAAACCCTTTCCCAGCAGCGAGATGTAGCCACCTCTGGAGCAGGGCTTGTTGCCACCTGTTTATACTGGGATCCTGGCACTGAGATGCAGCCACCTCTAGAGTGGAGCGCAAGAGCTATTTACACAGGGATCCCTCGTTCAGCTCTGAGATGCAGCTGCCTCTGGGGCAGAGTGTGAGCACTATTGATAGAGATATGAGGGATCCTGGGAAAAATATTTTTTTGGGGGAAGACATTAAAAAAAATTGAGTCCTAGTCTGGAAAAACTGGGAATATGGGGAAAAATTAAAAGAAACTAATATATTAAATACTTTCACTTAGATAGAGTAGAAAAAGAATTTTTAGTTATGTTCAAAATAATGTATTATGCTTCCCCTCAGCCCTTCAGAAATGCTTTCTACTAACAAGTAGTATGTTTTTACAATGAAACAAATGCTTCTCTGGACACGTGAGTTTCTTCCATCGCTGCATGATAATGTCAAGTTCACAGGATACAACCTTCCTCTTTGCTTACAACAGTATCTATGTTTTCTATTCTGTTAACATTAGAGAGAGATTTTTAGGGCTATCAAGTAATTTTAAAAAGTAACTGCAGTTAAGTGCATGCTTAAAAAAATTAACCATTATTAGTCGTACTGTTATAAAAGAATAAAACACCATTTATTTAAATATTCGTGGATGTTTTCTAACTTTTCAAATAGATTGATTTCTATTACAACACAGTGCAGGGCTCACTTTGTATTTAGATTACAAAAATTTGTCACAGAAATCAATCTATTTGAAAATGTAGGAAAACATCCCAAAATATTTCATAAACTGCAATTGGTGTTCTAGTGTTTACAAGTGATATTAATGTTTTAGTTCAGTGCACAAGTTAACTATGATTAATCAACAGCACTAATATGTTTATCTTGTTTGCAAGCCTAAGTGCTTTAGCATACAGCCGATTCTGCCACCATACTAAGTATATTTGTCATTATTGTATGAATCAAAACTAAACAATTTAAACTTATTTCAGAAATATACTGAACAGGATTTTGTTATGGGCTAACTACATTATACAAGTATCAGAGGAGTAGCCGTGTTAGTCTGGATCTGCAAAAGCGACAAGGAGTCCTGTAGCACCTTATAGACTAACAGATGTATTGGAGCATAAGCTTTCGTGGGCAAAGACTCACTTCGTCATGCATCTAATGAAGTGGGTCTTCGCCCACGAAAGCTTATGCTCCAATACATCTGTTAGTCTATAAGGTGCTACAAGACTCTTTGTCACTTTTACATTATACAAAATACCTGTCTGATTCTTAAAGAAGTAAATAAACAAGGTTTAATTATGTTAATTACAGCAGATATTTCACTTTCCCCCAGCATTTTCATTTTTTCCATGCCTTAAGAATTCCCAGCTAGGAGACACCTCAGCTGTTGATACAGGAACTAGGGCTGTAAGAGTGTAGCTGTTTAAACATAAGCTTATAGGTTACCCAGAGTTGCATGCGACTCCCAGTCTGGCTCCCAGAGGCAGCAGTATAGGGCAGCAGCAGGTTCCCCAGGAGCTGTGCATAGCTCCCAGGGAGCCACCTGCCGCCCCACACTGCTGCCTCAGTATCAGAGGCAGCAGTGTGGGGTGACAGGAAGAAGTGAGTACTTGCTGGGAGCAGCTGGCTCCCTGGGAGTGGGGTGGCAGGTGGGAATTGGTACCCTCTGGTGAACTGGTTGCTGCCCCACGGCACTGACTCTGATACAGTGACAGCAGTGTAGGGTGGCAGATAGTGCATGTCAGGAGCCAGCTTAAAAGCCAGTTCCCAGCATGCACCGGCTCCCTGTGTGTACCTGCTGAAATTTTCAGGGGTTACATGTTCACACAACTATATGCATTTTAATATCCCTCACAGGAATCTTGCACCTCGTGCAGAAATGCAGCTGTCTCTGAGGCCCTATGCCTATACCTCTAGGGTGAGGCATGAGAAGGCTGAAAGTATAGAACCCCTTGCCTGGCCCTGAGACACAGCTTACTCTGGGGCAGGGTGCAGGGGCTTGTTATAAAAGGTCCCCTCACCTGGCGCTGAGATGCAGCCACTTTGGGGGCAGAGCAGCCTGTTTCACGGGGACCCCACTTGCCTGGCTCTGAGATGCAGCCACCTCTGGGGTGTTTGGTTACATCAGGGACCTCTCGCTTGGTGCTGAGATGTGGCCACTTCTGGGGTGGGGCGGCTGGAGCCCCGGGCA